GGGGTACGGGCCTCCGCCCGGAAGAACCCACCCTCCAGCCGCAGCGCGGCACCCGCGGCCGCAGCACGCTGGGACGGCCAACAGCAGAGCTGGACACGGGAAAGGTCAACACAAGCTCCTCCACAGTAGGTCCATTAACGGCTCTTAAAACCACGGTGGGGCAGGCACAGCTTGCAGGGCTGGAAAATGCCAGAGCCGTTGGCAGCCGAGCAGAGGAGACTGCCCGAAGGACCGTCCTCTGCCTGTCCTACGCCTCGTGCCGGCCACCGCAGGGACCGGTACGCTGCACGGACCACCGGCCCGGCCAGCGCGGCTGCTCCAACAGCCCACCACCAGCACATCAGCTGGCACGTACCCCGCGGAAGCCCAGCAACACGTCGGCTGCAGCCCTACGAGGAGCGTAATGATGTTATGGAGCCGGCCAAGCACCCGATGGTATGGAGCAACACCCAAGGAACTACCACGGCGAATAATTACCAACTACAGCTTGTGCGCAGGGTAAAACTCAGGCAGTAAGAAGCCATCTTATGCCCTGCCACATGACAGCACGTCGTAGGCACTGTCACTGGACAGCGATGCCTTTCCAACCTCTGAAGGTATTGGCAAGGCTTAGCAAGGGCCAAGGCTGGAAGGTCCAGACCCAGGGCTCTCCGAGGTGAAGCTCCTAACAGGCAGGCTGTCTCAGGAAAGCACCATGCACGAGCTACAGGCAAGCACCAACAGCACAGTTTAGTGATTATGTCTTTATGTATTGGACATCTGCCATCTCATCCTTTCTCTCCACGTGCTACAGATCTCAGAGGGTGGCTGGAAGGACCCTGGAGTTCAGCAGCACAGCAACAGTTAGGGAGAGGAAAGATTTATCTTCCAGATCTTAAAAATAAAAAAATAAAAAAAAAACTGCTTAGAGTTTCATTTTCCAGCGCAATAACATATACATAAAGATTTACTATCCAGAATCCAGTGAGGGTGAGAGAACACGTTGCTTTCCACGGTGTATCAAGCCCATGGTTAAACGGGCTTCGCCGCACTAACCCATCAGGGTTTCCTACACCACCCAGGTCCTCACTCACCAGTAGGCACCTTCTGTCCCACACCATGTGCCTTGTATTCAAGGGGGACTTGCAAGAGCCAAATATTTAACCATTTGTTAAATTGGTGCCTGCCATAAATAATTAAACTACCTTGATGGAAGTAACAGAACTCTCCTTTTCTTGTATAAACACCAGGCGCTGGGCACAAACATGCACAGTGAAGCAGGTAGCCCTGCACATCCCAGCGCTGGCCGAAGTTAGGGTGCCGTGTAGTCACGCAAACACAAGGGATCCTGCCTGCGGGACAGCAGAAGGGGTGCTCAACAGCTGAACCTTTTGTAGCCCCGGCTCGGAGACAGAGCTCAGCGGCTCTACTCAACGACAGACCGACTAGCTGCGCCGCGTGGCGTGACGCAGAACTTTGCGGTTCAAACATTAAAAACAAAAGCTCCTGTTGCTTTATGCAATCTTTTAAAAAAGGGCAGTTATTTGCAGCACGGCTCCCATTTTACTTTTTTTTTTTTTTTTAAATGTCTACAAAATATATTCAAGGAAACAGACTTGTAAAACTAACAGAAAGGCTGCCAGTGGGATGGGGAGCAGATCCTCCCACGCTACCAGGCTGAAGCAGCCCGCGGATTCCCTCATTCCCAGGGGCCCATTTACTGCTGAAGACCACCAGTCCCAAAAGCCCGGGGCACTGCAAAGCACGGCTGCTCGCGGGCACCGCGGGGCCAGCCCCACCGAGAGGGGCGCGGAGGATGTCTCTGGGAGACGGACCGGAGCTCTGCTCCGCTCCTGTAAACCAGGGGATTTGGCAGAGCCCTGCACTTGGATGAATGCGAATGCAAGCCGGAGCCCAGGGGCATAAAAGCCAGCACACGGAGACAGCCCGTTTCAGCAGTATCAAGCTCTGAATGTTGCCAAAAACATAATTTCAATTTCCTTCCTAAGCACCTATGAATGAAATAATTAACTGCAAAACGAGTGCTTTAAAATATAGCAAAAAAGTCAAGTAGCAATGTTTTATATTAAGATACTGCCAAAATCCAGCAAAAATTAACTTCGGCACCCCGAAATGATAGAAAATAAAAAAGGAATTAATTTTCTTAATTTCACCATATATCATTCCTATTATTACGCAACAGAGATAGCCTTCCCTGCTCAGGTTTCGGCTTTGCTCTCGGCATGCTGTTCCAACACAGCAGCAGTAAATCTCTCTCCTTACATTTGACTGCATTAAGAACCCTGCTGTCCAGGGGCTTCCTGCTGGGATCGCTCGTGGAGGACCGGATTCCAGTTCCGCAGCTGTTGGCAAGCGTGTTCCTGCAAGAAAGGCAAAGGAAGATCCTTACGCCGCCGCCTCGCGCTCTCCCCCCGTAGGTTCCTAGGGAGGGATCACCACATTACACGATTTTACGGTAAGGAATTGGAAAACTTTGTGCTTAGGTTCAAGCGCCATTGAGGAAAGGCACAGAGCTCGGTGCGGCACACACGGAGGGTGAAGCACTCGCGGCACGTTACCTACTGACACGGTTAAAACACCAGAGGATAAACCGAATCCCTTGGGAGAGCACGAAGAGCCAGAGGACATACCGATCAAAGAAGGTGGCCAGAAGACGTCTCAGAAGGACCTTGTGTTTGACACCGGCACATAAGTGGCAATTCATCAGCTGCCCGCGGGTGATGTAAACACCTGAGCCTGGAGGGTGGGAGAGGGAGAATTCAAAATTAAACCCTTGCCTCGCCGGCAGCACCGCGTCCGAGCCGCCAGCAAACTGCTCCTCCTGCGCTGGTCGCTCGGGGTGGTGGTGTGACACGGGAGGGAGCGCGTTCTTCACGTGCTGCTACGAGAGCCCGACAAGGACAGCAGGATTTCTTGAAAAGCCCAGCCGGGACTGTTAGCGCAGTCCCTCGGGGTCTTGGCAAGTCCCAGGTAATAATAATTCCTAATTTTATCTGTACAGAAAGGAAGTCTATGGAAATCAATCCTTTCAGGCTCTCTTTTTTTCCCTTGCCAATACACACAGTGCAAGGCTTTATACTGTGATTTTATATGTACAGATCAGATTATTTATTCTTTCTGAAGGAAGAAATCCCCAATCTATTTGGCCTTTTCTTTTCTCAAGTGAAAGATCGTAGAACGTATCGCTAGAAAGAGAAGAAAAAAGCCCGTCTAGCCCAGAAAAGGTACCCGGTTACACTACGGATCTAACTGTGTCCAAAAAGCCCAGCCCATCACCTCTTGGTACTTCTGGCGAGCAGGGAATTTTCCTTCTAATGCACAGGAACTGCTGACTTTGGAATACACTGCCTCTAAGGATGGTCTCCACAAGAAAAAGGAGCCGCTGCCGAAGAGGCGTTACACGTGCGGGGCTTTGGCAGTGCTTTACAGCAGGTTTCTTATCAAATCCTTCTGCTTTGCACATCGCTCACACAGACCAAACCACTCCTGCCTCAGCGTCGGCTTGCAGGGGGAGGTTATCCTATTTTTCAAGTGTACTGTTATATGAGAGGGCTTTGGTATTTGCTTTTAATTAAGATTAAATAATGGGTGGTATCTGGGTCCAGAACACACTCTGTTCTCAAGATACGAGAACATCTACTGCAGAAATAAAATTACCCGCTGGATTTCCAGGAAAGCCTACAGCTGGCTGTCCCTGATCTTCTGGATGAAGACAGAGCTGCAGAGCAGCCCACGCCGACGGGCTGCGCCGGGG